ATATATATATATATATATATATATATATATATATATATGTGTGTGTGTGTGTGTATTATATACATATAATATACACATTTAGCAAATGCATTTAGTTTCGGCCTGCCGATTAATTTTATATTTTTCCCTTAAAATAGGAATGACCCAACAAAACTCATATACGTAAGTTAAAATAATACTAAAAGTGAATTCTTTCCCCATAAGAAACTTAGTTCGGAATGCATGAGATTCTGACAACAACAAATTAGGAAATAAAAGGTATAATTAGAGAGCACTTGAAATAAAAATGCTATCGATTTGAATAAAAATCTTGAAAAGAAAAATAAAAGATAGAAGTATCATGTTTTGAAGGATTTACAATTCACTTTTAGTATTATTTTAATTTTTATATATGAGTATTGGGTCGGGTGGGTCAGGTCGTGTTGGCTCATCCTTATTTTAATTGGATTATTATTTATTAGACCGAAAATAAGAAAATACTACTGAAAAAAATTATATTTTTCAATCACTATGATTTTTGTGTGAGTTAGTAAAAGTTTTATGATTTTATTGTGAGAAAATATAGTTATATGACTTTGGTGAAAAAAAGTCATAGTTATATGATTTTTGTGTGAGAAAATAAAGTTATTTGACTTTAGTGAAAAAAAGTTATAGTTATATGACCATTTGTGAAATTTACCCTAAAAATTAGTTAATCTAACCTTAAAAAGGGAGACACATTGCGACAAAAATGGCTCAACTCTGTCCCATATGGAATAGAAATGCACCATCAAAGATTGTAGCGGAATGAATATGACACTTTCGTCCTTAATTAGAGGTTTCGGGTTCGAGACCTACGAATGAATATGGTATGAAGCGCTTACCACATTAGTGCACATTACGCAGCATGAATCGAAATTAGTCGGAGCCCTAAAATAGATATCGGATGTCATACGAGAACGAAAAAGGCCAATAAATGTAAGAATTTAACTAAGTGGACTAGTTGATTCTCAAAATATTGGGCAGTCAGGTGCATGAAACTTCCCGCATTCAAGCAAGGTCCGAAGAAAGGCTGTACCCCAAGGGTGTAATATAGACAGTCTGTCACTAATATATTTTATTAGTATATCCTAAAAATAATTAAACTTTAAACTTATACTTTTATTCTTGATAACATGCTTTTATAGTCTTAAAATCTCATAAATATCATTAAGTCACGAGATCCAAAAATTTATATATATGTATTTTCTAATTTACATGTTCAATTCAATATCGTCACATAAATTAAAACGTAGAAAGTAATAAAGAATGTAGCCAAGTGGAGACTCACCCTTGAAGGAGAGGTCAGCACCGAGGTGCAGTATTCATTCTTTCACAAAAGACTTTCAAACCTCAAAAGCTATCTAATTTTCTTATGACGTTTTTCTTGATTTTCAAAAGGGACATGTATTTGGACACTTAAATATCCATTCTTCTCATGATAAATGACCTTTTATAAGGTTAATGAACCCCTTGAAATAATATAAAATTTACCTTAGAATGCAAAATGCAAGAAAATGTAACGTGAAGTAGTGGCAATTAGGATTATCTTTAAATTGGTTCACATGAATCTCTTAAAGTGGTGCAAATCCTTAAGACTGGAAACTGTTTCAAAAATCAAATTGAGATAAAACACGCAACTGGAAATGATGATTCATCCTATCAGCAGATTCTTGCCTCTATTAAAGTATCAATATGCAATTAATAATTAGTTTCTTAAACTCCAAACTTTCAAATAATATAATGTGGTGGCTTAAGTTTGGGAAACATTTCAAAATTACCACCAAAGGGTGCCGTGGGAATCGGGATGAACGGAATCCTTTCACACTTAACCAAAGACCTTGAGTTCGAGTTTTGAAAATGGAGAAATCCCTGATAAAAAGTGCTTCCTCTTAAACGGATGCTATACAACTTTGAATTAGTTGGGCCGATGAATTTCGATTACCAAATAATTAGACCAACAAAAAAAAATCCAAATGCCAATGAAGTATGGAAAGAACTTACCTGCACCGTACAAATATTAAAAATGCTCTTATTATATAAGGTTTAATATTTATTTTGTTTTAAAATTTTCTTTTAATTGTCATGAAGTATGTTTTCAACTATTTTATTCTATATTCAAAGTTAATTTCTTGTAAGTTCTAAAATTAATTTATGAAATATGATGCCAATAAATCCATATAAACAAGCAACAATAATAAACAATGATAATTATGCTTCAATCATAAACATTAGGATCTGCTATATGAATTTTCCTTAAGCATTTCTCCATTTAGTTTCATTCCAAGCCAATATTTTATAATACAAATAAAAATGAAAAACACTAAAAGTTCTCTATGTTCTCTTGTGGCATAAGAATCTCTAATAGGACTAAACGATTCCTTTAAATATAGAATCTAAAATAAACGTATTAACTAAATAACTAAATAAATTTTCAACTAATTAGTATCACCTATATAATTTCTAAATTAAACGCATTAACAATATGTCTAAATAAATTTTCAACTAATAGGAATCACCTGTATAATTTTCTCTCTCTTCAATTATACCCTATTTTTCGTTAAATCTACAATTGATTCTAATATATTATTTTTATTTAACTATCTAGTATCCAATATTCACTAACTTGACTAAACTTATTTAATAGGTGAACTCTTTCTACTAGTATTTTCTCCAATCATGGGACTCACATATAACCTATGTTGCTTTGCAGGTCCTCCTTAATAATACGACTAAGTATAGTTTGTACGTTCAAACTATTACGTGCATGGTAAGACTATTGAACTAGCTCGAAGAAATGGATTGAATTTCGAATTTATTTTTTGTAAAAAAATTGTATGTAAATGTTGTTTAGATTTGTTAGAAATAGTCTCAGGAGGTTATCGACAAAATTTGAAGTTATTCTGTAGAGATTTGGACTGGTTTTAAACTAGCGTTATAACTAAAAATCACAGAAGAAGTTTGTCAATATAACTAGCGATGTCACACTTTTATACATCGTTATATATTTTTATACAAAGTTAATGTATTTTCATACACTTTTAAATTACATTGTTTATATAGATGTATGAATACTGTATAATAATGCACAAAATAAAAAATATATCGCCGTTTCTAAAAGTTAAAATTCAAAAGAACAATAAGAAAGGTCAATAAAACTTCTTGGTTGCCGAAGTCATTCAAGACTTGTTTGACCCACGTGTGCTATTCGCACACTTGTCTAATTATCTCTAAATTAATTAATTATATTAAAGCCATAAAATAAACCCAAAACATCCTCCTTGGTCACTTCTTTTTCCTTCTGTCTTTTTCACCCTCAAATATTTTTTCCCAGCACTATTTTTCTCCCTTTCTTATTTGCACTCTTACTCCCTCTGCTCATGTTTATGTGATCTTTTTTTTTTTTTTATATTCACAATTTTATATAAGGAGTAATTTATTTTTGAATTGTGAATAATTTAACTTAAACTTATCATGTTATTCTTAATGGAAGTTTTTATAATTCGTAAATGTTATTACATATTTAAAATTATCAATTTTTAAGAGTCTTTATTTATTTTTTAAATTTCAAACGTTTACAATCAAATATTTTTTCCTAGCACTACTTATTTCTTTCTTTTTTGCACTCTTACTCCCTTCACTTTTATTTACATTACCTTATTTTCTTTTAAACCTGTTTCAAAAATTAATTTTATTTTTAGATACGAGTACAAATTTAATTCAAACTCTCATGTTATTCTTAATTACAAACTTTTAGACTTTCCTAAATATTATTATATGCTTAACACCACAAACTTCAAAAGTTTTTTCTAAAAAAAAAAATCTATTTGTTCCTAGTCAAATATGTTCAACTAAATTTAAAGGGAGGTAGTATTTTATTTTCTTTTTTACTTTCTAGTAATATTACTGTCACACCAAATATATAAAATTTTATATTCTATCTAGATCTTCTTAGTAGGCCAGTCCTAATTAGGACTATAAAAGAGGACCAATCTTCAACAACTTTCTCCACATAACGGACTACTACTAAAACGGAGTATTCACCTCTTTCTTTGAATTCAACTAACATTTTGAAAAATAGAAACAATGGATTCTTCTTCTCTTAATTTGCTCTACCATCTGAATATCAACACTTCTTCCCTTCCTTTCAACGTAAACGACTCCGACGAGATGTTTCTCTATGGCTTACTTGCTCAAGAAACCACCTCTAGGGACGGTTATGGAATGCTGGCGAGTTCACGTGATTCCAGTAGCTACGAGGAAGTTAGCTCGGTTTCTGAGCCAAAACCCTCAAAGGAAAGGACCTATAGAGGCGTAAGGCGGCGGCCGTGGGGCAAATTTGCAGCAGAAATAAGAGATTCAACAAGAAATGGACTAAGGGTATGGCTAGGGACATTTGATAGTGCAGAAGCAGCTGCTTTGGCTTATGATCAAGCTGCTTTTTCGACGCGAGGTTCGGGGGCAATTTTGAATTTTCCAGTGGAAAGAGTTATGGAATCTCTTAATGGAATGAAGTGTTACGTAGAAGAAGGTTGTTCACCTGTGTTGGCTTTAAAAAAGAGACACTCTATGAGGAAGAGGAAAAATTATAAAGTAAGGGAAGTAAAAAAAGAGAATGTTAATGCAATAGTGTTTGAAGATTTGGGTGTTGATTACTTGGAACAACTCTTGAGTTCAAGTGATCAGAGAAGTACTAGAAATGAAACTTTTACCGAGGGATGTGATAGCATGAATGAGATCCCATCATCTTTAATCAACAATATTTGATTTGAGCCTTATGAATGGAGAAATTTCTGGCAGTGACGGCTTTCCCCTTAAAGGGGTTATATGAGTCATGAATTTGTAATTAGTCTGGCCAGTGAGTTCGCATATCAAATGGTTAGAAAAAAAACACTAAAATGGAATTTCTAACCCAATGTAAATCATAGGTCGATGTAACTCATTATTTTATTTTTATATTTTGAAGAAAAAAAAACATCGGGGGAAAGATTTTTGGTGGTGGCTTGGTGGCATGTAATACTCAATAATTTTAATGTGATTTTGGTTTTGATTGTAGAAGCACCTTTCATTACTAGGACTCTTTGTGTTTTATTTGAGACATTTCTTTTTAGTATGTTCGAACAAAATAACACTTGAAAACTAATTTAAATCTTAATTTTTTTATTTTAACTTAGTAACATGACTAGGGGCGGCAAACAGTCAGGTCGGGTCGGATATGAGCGGGTTAAAAATGGATAATATAAAAGCGAATAAATTATCCTACTCGATTCATATTTAATACGGATAAAAAATGCGTTAACGAGGGGATAATATGGATATCCATATGTAATAACCCGACCGGTCGTTTTGAGTATTTACGCTCCTTTCAACTATTTTAAGTCTTGAATAGTTTCATACGATGTATTATGACTTGTGTGAATTGTCGGTTTGCGTTTTTATGTGTTTTAGAATTTGTTTAGATGGATGAATTTATATGTTGAAGCTTTGAGTTGGAAGAGTTGACCAAGTTTCAGTTTTAGTATTCGACCTCGGATTTGAGTTTTGATGATTCCAATAGCTTTGTATGGTGATTTTGGACTTAGGAGCGTGTCCAAAAAATTATTTTGAAGTCCGTAGTTGAATTTGGCTTGAAATGGCTAAAATAGAAAGTTAAGTTTGGAAGTTTGACCGTGTAATGACCCAACCGGTTATTTTGACTTTTAGAACCCCGTTCTCTAAAAATAAAACTTTTCGTATGTGCTTTTAATGAATTATGACTTGCGGGGATGGTTGGTTCAGAATTTGGAAGTGTTTGGGTTGAAATCAGAACACTTGGTTCCTTAAGTTGGCTTTAAAAGACCAAGTTTGACTTCGGTCAATATTTTGAGAAAATAACCCCGGAATAGAATTTTGACGATTCTAACAGCTCCATATGGTGATTTTGGACTTAGGAGCATGTTCGGAATTTTATTTGGAAGTCCGTAGTTAAATTAGGCTTGAAATGGCTAAAATAGGAATTTAAGTTTGAAAGTTTAGACCGAGGTGTTGACATTTTGATATCGGAGTCGGAATCCAGTTCCAAAAATTTTCATAGCTCCGTTATGTTATTTATGACTTGTGTGCAAATTTGAGGTCAATCGAACTTGATTTGATAGGTTCTGACTAGGGGTGGCATGTGGGCCGGGCCCGGTCCTAAGTGGGCTTCGCGGGCCTGGTCCTAAGTGGGCCGGTCCTAGGCGGGCCGGTCCTAAGCGGTCCCGGTCTTCGTGGGCTTCTCGTTGGAACCGGTCCGGGACTGGGACCACGAACTAGCGGTCCCGTGTTAAGTGGGCCGGTCCCGGGCCTAAGCGGGCCCAAGTGGACCCAACGGAAACTTTTTATTTTTTAAATTATTTTTATACAAGTTAGAGAAAAAAATGGTAATAAAAATATCTAAGGCAATTCCTAGTAAATTATATTATAGAATTGTCACCTAAATTTTTTAATTCAAATTTAAAGACAAAAATATTGTAAAGAGATATTCAAAGCAATGCGTTATAATATATATACTATACTATACTATACTATATATACATCTTAAGATATATAAGCTATATTCGATTTAATATATATACATCTTAAGATTTATACATTACTATTAGTAGCATTATCCATTGAAACTGACATTATTTTATCACTAATACAAAAATATCTATAAATATCTGTAATCGTGCTAGAAATAAACTGCCCCGTGTGAAGTGAATTAATTATTCTATAAGCAATAATGCGCTTTTACATTATCCAATCCTCATCAATCCAATGACTGGTAACAGTAAGGTAATCACAGTCATTACCACTTCTACCAATATCAGCTGTAATAGCAACACGATAATTTATATGAGTAATTAAATAGCGCAAATATTATTCATATTCATGTTTATATTTATAAATATCACTCTTTACGGTTGT